CAATAAATAGTAATAACAATAAATAGTAACAATAATAAATAGTAATAATAATAAATAGTAATAATAATAAATAGTAACAATAATAAATAGTAATAATAATAAATAGTAATAGTAATAAATAGTAACAATAATAAATAGTAATAATAACAAATAGTAATAATAATAAATAGTAATAATAATAAATAGTAATAATGATGAATAGTAATAATAATAAGTGGTGATAATAATAAATAGTAATAATATTAATAGTGATCATAATCACCACACCGCATAATAATGATGACAATGGTACTGACAAAAATAGTAATAATAATAACAATAACGGTGAATATTAATAGCAACAACAGTAGTAATAAACAGTAACAATAATAATGATAATGATAATAACAATAGTAATAATGTTAGTTATAATAATAGCACTTGCAATCATAACAGTGATGTAAGTAATAGTAATAATAAACCCAATTTTTGTGCTACATGTTTGTGGTAAGTGCAAGGCTTTTTTTCTTCGGACAAATTAGGCAGGGCCAAATCAGAATTGGACAGGATCGAACGGCCACCTACGGGAACTCCTCTGCCCACTGCTTGGGTGAGGTTGCTCGGCATGGCTACCTTCGTGCTGCTATTGCTTTTAGCAGCTTCTCCGTTCTAACAGTTCTGGAGTTACATCCCCGTACAGTTTCTAGCACATTGGAACACACATGCACAGACACGCGCACACACATACACACACGGGCACACACACACATACATACACACACACACGGGCATACACACACATCTACACACACATACATACACACACATACACACGCCCAGGCACCCACCTACGCACACCCACCCACACACATCCACCCACACATATCCACCCACACACCCACTCACTCACATATATACACGCATATATATATATATACACAGACGTACGTTTTGTATTACTAATTTTCTATGTGTGCGTGTTTTTTAGGGGGAAAATGGGCAAGGAGCAATATCGCGAGTCGGATTTGGCACGCAAAGTGTAAGTTTATCTCTCTCTTTCTCTCTCTCAGCTGTTTTTTTTTAAAGGTATTCTCGGAGAGGAGCCTTCACTCCTCATATAAATATAGGAATTTCGTAGTTTGGGATGATATACCAATGTAAAACTGTACATCTTCAAGTTACCAGTCTTGTGGTGAGTAGTAAGACACGCTTGAAGGAAGGCGGTAATTTTGCTCTGAATCAAAAAAAAAAGCAAAAAAAAGCGTAAGGATTTGTTGCTTCAGGCGTAAACTTCGGTATTTTTCTCGGTGTCCAACCGAAAATTTCTGCATTCATCGGAAAATTGTAGCGGGAAGAAGGCCTTAGAACCAGGAACTCATTTACCTCTTCTTTCGCGTCGACGTATCAATTTTTCAGACATTCTTGATGCTTTTAGTATGAGTTCTCTTAATCTTTTTCTTTATGGGTTTTTTGCAGCTATGCAATGCAAAAACGCATACTGACGAGGGATTGCCTGTGTGCCCGTGTATCTGTGTGTGCGCCTGTCATGCACTTTCATCTCAAGACGTATAAAAGCTGCAGGGCTGAAATTTGGGGAACTTAATTTACATGCACATGCCGGCCCCAATCCTCAGAATTGGTGCCATCACCCGTGTGGTACTCGCGCACGGGCCCGCTAAAATTTTTTTGGGGCAAGTTCATAACTCGAGGATCTGAGAAGCTAGAACGCTGAAATCTTAGGGTGACGTTCCCCGTCCAACTGGGAGTTAATTCACTCAAACCCATCCCCTGGGTAAGCGTGGTATGGGCCCGCCAAAATTTTTCTCGGGTAAGTTCATAACTCGGGGATCTGAGAAGCTAGGATACTGAAATGTTAGGGAGACGTTCCCCGTCCAAGTAGGTGATAACTCAGGAGCCAGGAAAGCTAGAAAGCTGAAATTTTAAGGGGCTGTTTCCTGCCAATTCGGGCGGCCAGTCTTAGTTTGTCCAGCTAGAAGCATATGCCGAAAAAAACCGATGCCGGTAGCGACAAAAACTGCGGGAAACTATGCAAAAAACACACCTTCGCACGGGCAGCCCGTGTTTTGGCCAATTACTACATATAATAGACGTTTTGATGGACAGGACCCGTAAGAGCATTTGCTTGCTGTTGTTTTTTCATCAATTTTTCACACCTTTTTTCCCGTGTGTTTGCAGAAGTCGCGTGCAATTTGTTGCTGGTGATGCGGAATCGATGAAACAGGTGGCCCATATTCCGGTTTTCAACAGCAGACTGTACGACGAAAGTCCGGGGTGCTGGAATCCTGTCCCATATGGGCCGCTTGATCCGCGTTTGGTAAGTTCGATTTTGTTCGCCTGGTACCTCGATACGGGAATATTAGCAGTCTTATTGCCGTATTGATAATGTATTTTCGTATGTTAACATCCGCTTTTCGCTATATTGACGATGTATTTTCGCTGCATAGTGGTTTTCCCATGATTGTTGTGGGCGAAAATGTTGCATCACCTGACGCTCAGCTTGCTGCTTTTAGTGATTTTGGCGCTCGTCCCCCTCCCCCCTTCCTTTTCTCGTCCTATTCTCCTTCCCTTCCCCTTCTATTCCCTTCCTGTTAGGAAACAGTAGAATGGAATGACTAAGAAAAGTAATCCAGGAAAGAAGAAAAAGAAGCAATCTAGGAAATATAATCCAGAAAAGAAGAACGAGGTTCAGTTGTGGTAAAGGCAAGAAATGTATACGACTTAATGGACGGAAACATTTCTTACCTAATTTAATGCTTCTTTTTCACATTCTTCCTTTTTTATCTTTCCTACCATCCTTTTTTATATTTTCCAACAGCATTCATACATTTTTCTTTTAACCTTAAAAAAAGAAGTAATCTAGGAAATGTTGCACCTTTCCATGTTTCTGAGATTTTTCACGAAATGTTTAGCTCGTGCATTTTTCCCCCACATCCATTGCTTGTGAAGTCATTTGCCCTTTAACACGTAATTTCAGGGTATTTGCAACAAGACTAGTAACTGTCAGACGTGCAAGCAGAATTTGTCGGATTGTGTTGGTCATTTTGGCTATATCGATCTTGCCATGCCAGTATTCCATGTGGGCTTCTTCCGCCTCATCATACAGATGTTGCAGTGTGTTTGCAAGGTACGGTATTTTTGGTATGATGGGATACGGTACCGCTGGCAAAGGCACGGTAGGGTACGGTATCTTACAAGATGCTGCAGTGTATTTGCAAGGTACGGTATTTTGGTATGGCAGAGTACGGCATCTTTGCAAAGATACGGCGAACTACGGTATCTTTATAAGGTGTGGTAAGGTACGGTATTCCCACTTGCTCAAGTTATCATTGCAGTTGCTTCGGTTGTGTTTCAAAGGAAATAATCCCTTTACGATCGATTGATTCGTTTCGATGGTAAATTGTTACTACCGTGTAACAAGGAAAAAAATTATTTCCAAATTACGTCTCAAGAAATGCTATAAAATGTAGTATTTGGTGTTTTGCCGCTGAGATTTTCGCTACTCGCAATATCTTAACACAGGGGGTTGCCTCTATCTCAGAGGAAGCACCGTCCAGAAGAAATTTTTGATCTTAATTTTTTGTTACTCGATTTGGAGTTATTCCTGAAAGCATAATTTCCAACATCATTGTGCCGCTTATTTGCAGTACTGTTCGGCATTGCTGCTAACTGGCGAGCAAAAGCAATCATTTCTACGTCAAGTGAACAGCACAAATCTGGATTATTTGCGCCGAAAAGCGCTCCATAAGCGAATTGTAGCTGCGAGCAAAAAAATATCTGTTTGTGCTCGATGCGGCCATCGAAACGGTAGTTTTGAGTTTTTACTTAATTATTTTATTTTTTGAGTTTTTACTTAATTTTTATACATTTATATTAGGAACGAGGAATATGATAACTCGAAAATACGTACTGTAAACATTACGCAATCTGTAATGGAACTGATGAGTAAAATTGGTCACAGCAGGGAAGGGCTGATTTGTAATTGTTACATTAGATGTTTAATACTTGCATTATTATCTTCCATAACGTTCTGTTCACTGCTAAAATGCATTACACAATTAATTTAGTTGTAAATTAAACTTCAGTTACCACAGTCGTTGGTAACTTCAGTTACCACAGTTAACTTCAGTTACCACAGTCGTT